TTATTAACTAATAATAACTATATAGAACACACTTTAGACCGGAGATAGGCTGCATGGTGCACATTCCTTGCAACTTTGGACTGCATCACGCTCTGTGTCGYGGATGCAATAAGAAAAAAAACACGGTTTATAATATACCTAACGATGTATCATATACCAACGTATATATAGATATCATTCGTTTGTAATCCGAGAGTTGCTATAATAATAAAATATAATAAAACATAATCTCGTGTTCTCCGTAGTGTTTTATTATACCCAATATACGACGTGTAGATATTATATACATCGCAGAGGATCTACTCGGGAATTTCGAAGGAAGAACGGAAGAACAAACGATGAGACCCTTACGGCCTTACGTTGTGTTATTCGGCATCAAAGCATATCTATACAGAAATCTTATATATATATATATATATAAGATTTATATATTATTTATATAATATATAATATTATTATATACGCCGTGCGTATCTATAATACATAATTGTATAAAATATAATATTATATTATATATACGAGTATATGGGTGTTTTATTTCTTTACATTCGCTCGACGCTGTTGCGTAACCCAAGAGGCAGCAGGAGACAGGTCTTTTATTTTCACTGTATAATATTATTATTATACTATTGTTGTTATTATATATTTTTTTGTTCCCGAAAACCTCGTAATGCGTGTCTGGATTGTTTGCACTCAAATCGTAAATCGCATACCTACATATAATGTGCTGCAGCTATAACCTATAATGCGTATAGCATGTATTTATATATGTATATACTGAGTTGCAGCCACCCACACTGCCAGAGACTGTTTTTAATCTCTATAACAACACACAAAATAACCGTGAAATTCGCGTAAAAGACAAAAAAACACACACTCCACCATATATACTGTACCGCACAAAAGAAACGGAAAGAGTCTCTATATGTGGGTTTTTTTTTCGCCACGCCRAAAATCCTATCCGAAAACACACAAAAACGGCTACTGGTATTCGCAATGTAATATTATATATAAAATAACATATATAATAATACCACCTATGCATTGTACCCCCACTGTTCCTGCTGCTGCACCACCAACACCTCCACCATCACCGCCGCCACCAACTGCGCCCTGTTTTTTTTCTTCTGATTCTTCTTCTTCTCAGCATTCCCTTTCGCGCTGTGGTGTAAAATTCGATTGTGTTTAGGGTGTAGCACGGTAGCGCTGCCGATCGCAGAAATTTCTGTTCGACATTGTGTCACCGTATTTTATTGCTTATTATATTGAATGGACGGCGAAAAAAATTGTTTCCGCTATTGCGYGCATTGCGTCACACATACGCGTATTACGTCGCCGTGTACAATTATTACATTGTATTTCATCCCCGCAACGAGGGCACCCCATCGTTACCGAAACCGCCATAATTTCCGTTTTGACAACACATATAATAAAATGGTTAAAAAGAGAGAAAAAAACTGGTCGCTTTTACGGGTCAATTTGTTGTTACGTACAAACATAGCGATTCGCATATCACGCGCATTGTATCGTACACGCTTGTATATAGTATTATTTTATTGTATAAGTGTATCATGTATAGGTATATGTTATGCGTCTTGAACACCGCACAACAATATGCACGCATTGGGTCACGCAGGTCGTCGTCAACAACCAATAAAGTCTTCCAACTGCAGTTTATTATATTATTATTATGTAACATATTTTTCGTCTAGGAAAATTTTTCTAACATCATATTTGCCAAAACTCAAAATATAAACAAACCTACAATGTCTCCTGCAGCAAAGTGTTTTCGACTGAATTTTTTTATCTGGCGCAGGGAAATCTAAAAACTCATTTAAAATAATATTTATTTAATCGGTAGATGCGGTACTTGTGAGTACCGACCCATTAGAAACACAAAAATAACGTTTTATGATATTTCATACACGTTTTATTTCGGAGGACTTATAAGTACCGTCGGTCGACAAAGGGTTAATAGCAATATATAAGATATAACTCGCCTTATAACCACTTATTTAAGTATACACCAGGGTATTATTCCGAAAATGTTTTAAATGTTTTTTCAAAAAGTACTTATCAATGTACTCCAAATACTTTTTGTTAAGTATTTATGTTTTAAAATAAATGCTTTTTGATAAGTATATGTTATACAGATATATGGTAAAAATATATATGGTGATATGGATAYTTTTTTGGGAACATAAAAAAGTCCATGTTAGCCAAATAAGAATCGAATTGAACCACATTATTTTTTAATTACTGTTTTGAATATACAACTTTTAATTCTTTGGCAATTAGTTTTTACAAATTTTTTACATTCAAACATTTTTACAGTGTTTACACAATATTTTTTCTACATTTCATTAAACCTCGTTGTTTTTTTGATAATGAAATAATTTGATAAACATTTTTAATGTGCACTATTTCTTT